TCAATCTGTCTGTAGACAGATCCTTTTCTGTCAGAAGGTTTGTCCATCTTTCTGTAGACAGATCCTTTTCTCTCAGATGTTTTTTTCATCTGTCTGTAGACAGATCTTCTTCTATCAGAATGTTTGTCAATCTGTCTGTAGACAGATCTTCTTCTGTCAGAAGGTTTGTCCATCTGTCTGTAGACAGATCCTTTTCTGTCAGAATGTTTGTCAATCTGTCTGTAGACAGATCCTTTTCTGTCAGAATGTTTGTCAATCTGTCTGTAGACAGATCCTCTTTTATCAGAAGGTTTGTCCATCTGTCTGTAGATCATTGTTCTTTATAGGATGGATTGGAAAAAGAAAATGGCTGACATATAGCTAATTTGAATTTTGAAAGTAATATTTTGTTATCATTCTGTCTAAAGAAATACCAGATGGATCATTTTCATGTATGTTCACCATGGTCCCTAATTATTGTTTTGGAACTGATTAAAACAAAAACGCTAACAGCAGCAGATAATTAATGTTTGTATCTGTAGAAGTACTGAAAGACACTATAATTGTTTTATTTATGTCCACATGTGTAGGTTTCCTTTATTGTCCTTGTTTAATGATCAGAGTAAATAAGAGGACAGAAAGGAAGAGGAAAGAATCAAACTGATGAAGACCAAATTAAGAGTATTTAATTGGTGTTGTCAAGATCCCTCTAGAATCTCTTGTATCAGTTTTGTGTGGGGTATTGTTGCCAATCTTAGCTACCAGTACATGTATTTCTTATACTCTGTGCACATGATCAGTAACTAGAGTAGTTTTGACTTTGTTATTAACATCTTTTTGATTTTGGAGTTATTTCTCTTTGTGATCAAGCTGGTGGGCAGATATTTGACCAGTAACTAGAGTAGTTTTGACTTTGTTATTAACATCTTTTTGATTTTGGAGTTATTTCTCTTTGTGATCAAGCTGGTGGGCAGATATTTGTCTGACAGTGGTTAGACTTTAACATCTAGCTGAGTTTCTATCTAGATAAACCATTGCTGAATTCTACAATAACAGTAAGTGATATTAGTTAGCTCTTTTTTACATTTCTACTTTATCATTCCCCACCGATCCAACCAGAATTCCGCCATGTTTTATATTGAATTTTGTGCTGGTTCCAGATACAATATCTAGATATCTCATTACACCTGATTGTACGTTTTCTGCGAGTTCTACTCATCACTTACCATGTCTATGATAATGCAACAGTTTGCCCAGTGCTTTTTACAGACATTTGTTGGCACTAGAATTGACTCATTCTTATTATATGTCCATATTCTTCGTCAAAGAAGAATTGTAGAAATAGATGTTGACTCCTATCAGATAAGTAGATAAAGATTTAGAATGACAATGCTCCTCTCCCATTTTCTCATATGTCATTTCATTAGTTTAGAGGCTGAAATTTGAAAAAAGAGAAAAGGTCAAATGAGGACAAGGAAACTGCAAAATCTGAACTAGAGGATACTAACTGCACTATGATAGGGTCCTTCTAGCCTTGTCCATTTTCACAAGACACTTGGTAAATCTATCAGTTTTCCTATAACCCTGATAGGACACTTGATTGTACAGCTGCCGAACCCAAAACACCAATTTTGGCAGGTATCAATTGACCTGGGAAATAAACTATATTTAAACCTTAATATAATTTTTAAAATGCTTGTCCAGGTTTTTGCTGCAAAGTTGCTGAAGTGTACGGGTTAGATTGTTTTGTACTGGGTGTTGAGGTTTTCTTCCTTGTTACACTGTAGGAGAATGCTTTATGGATTTAAGGAATTTTTGGTACATGACAAGAATCATCCTTTTTTGTATGCCCCACTTAAAGACATTTTATTCAACATGTTGTTGGATGTGATTGCTCACTCTAGAAGCTTTGTAATTGGAAGGTTTCTTACCTTTTCATAGTTCATTTAGACAAGGGAAGTAAATCTTATACCAACAAAATGTGTAGGAATTACCAGGCTTTATATATGATATGTTATACAAGCTTACCCGCTTCTTTCATCTTGCTCTGACCTACAAGTGTACATGTTGTCTCTACAAGTATACCACTCAAATAGGTGCTTGTCCCAGAATCAAGCAACCACTTTGGTTATCCTACAGAGAACTCCTCGGAAACATCTATCTAATGTTCAGTAATGTTGCATGTTGAGATGTTTTGAAGTTTAATCACTCAATCCTCCTTATGATCAGATGAAGTGTAAATCATGTATGATATCCCCTGTCTACTGTAAATCTAAATCCTGTTTCCTGTCCATTTCCCCTGTCTACTGTTCATATACTTAACTTCCTGTCCATTTCCCCTGTCTTCTTTTCATATCCTCAACTTCCTATTCATTTCTCCTGTCTTCTTTTCATATCCTCAACTTCCTGTCCATTTCATATCCTCAAATTCCTGCCCATTTCGCCTGTTTACTTTAAATCTAATTCCTGCTTTTTCTCCATTTCTCCTGTCTTCTTTTCATATCCTTAACTTCCTGTCCATTTATTTTTCAACTGCTCATATCTTCAATTCTCTGTCCATTTCCCCTTCTCCTGTTCATATCCTTAACCTTCTGTTCATTTTGCCTGTTTACTGTTCATATCCTTAACTTCCTGTCCGTTTCTCCTGTCTTCATTTCATATCCTCAACTTCCTGTCCATTTTCCCTGTTTACTGTTCATATCCTCAACTTCCTGTCCATTTCTCCTGTCTACTGTTCATATCCTCAACTTCCTGTCTTGTCTACTGTTCATATCTTCAACTTCCTGTCCATTTCCCCTGTCTATTGTTCATATCCTTAACTTCCTGTTCATTTCGCCTGTCTATTGTTCATATCCTTAACTTCCTGTTCATTTCGCCTGTGTACTGTTCATATCCTCAACTTCCTGTCCATTTCCCCTGTTTACTGTTCATATCCTTAACTTCCTGTCCATTTCTCCTGTCTTTTCATATCCTCAACTTCCTGTCCATTTTCCTTTTCTACTGCTCATATCTTTTTCCCTTACCCTATTCATATACTCAGTTTCTGTTCATTTTCCCTGTGTACTGTTCATATCCTTAATATTCTGTCCTTAACTCCCATCTTCTTTGTATACCAAGTCTACTGTCAATATCCCAAGTCTATTGTTCACATTCCCACTCTACTCTCCATATGCCCTGTCTACTGTCAACAGTCTACTGTCAATATCCCCAGTCTACTGTCAACAGTCTACTATTGATATCCCCAGTCTACTGTCTATATCCCCTGTCTGCTCTTTGTATACTGAGTCTACTGTCAATATCCCCAGTCTACTGTCAACAGTCTACTATTGATATCCCCAGTCTACTGTCTATATCCCCAGTCTAGTCTGTCAATATCCCCAGTCTGTCTGTCTTTATCCCCAGTCTACTGTCTATATCCCCAGTCTACTGTCAATATCCCAAGTCTACTGTCAATATCCCCAGTCTACTGTCAATATCCCAAGTCTACTGTCAATATCCCCAGTCTACTGTCTATATCCCCAGTCTACTGTCAATATCCCTAGTCTACTGTCAATATCCCAAGTCTACTGTCAATATCCCAAGTCTACTGTCAATATCCCCAGTCTACTGTCAATATCCCAAGTCTACTGTCAATATCCCCAGTCTACTGTCTATATCCCCTGTCTGCTCTTTGTATACTGAGTCTACTGTCAATATCCCCAGTCTACTGTCAATATCCCCAGTCTACTGTCAATATCCCCTGTCTGCTCTTTGTATACTGAGTCTACTGTCAATATCCCCAGTCTACTGTCAGTATACCCAGTCTACTGTCAATATCCCTAGTCTACTTTCCATATGCCTTGTTTACTGTATGTATAATGTGACCTCAGAGAACGGAAGCAATAAATATCAGCACTAAGAATTAGGAAAGGATTTACAGTACAGACGAAAAAAACCCAGCCATTATTTCTATATCAATGTTGTAACTGTGCCAGATGATGTTTTTCTTCTTTTTTTTTTTTTTTTTGTGCCAGATGAAATACCTTGTGATGTTGTGTCAATGTATAGGTATCTATTTTCTGCGATTGGTGAACATTGATTTTTAATTCCTCCCTGGATTGGTTGAATTGATGATTCTTATTTGATGCCAACATCAAAGTTGATAAGAAGAACTTTAGTTTAATATACTTGTGCATTTTCCCTACATGTTAAGTTTTATTTGTTGCCTTCTAAAGTGCAGTGAAACTTCGGAATCCATTAGGGATTCCAAGTGGTGGATTTAAAATAATTTTGACATGTTACATTTCCATTCCTTCTAAAACCTAATCATCAGTCTGTAATTCAAAGGAATGTTTACACTCCTGTTTTTACATGGCAATTCAAAGTAAGGGTCAAACAGTGAAATACAACGCAGTTTCTGACCTCCCACAATCAACAGTCAACAATTCCACATACATTTCCTTTTGGTCAATTAATTTTTAAGTGCTTTCCTCTTGTAAAGGATGTTGTTTGGCTAGGCTAGGGTACAACACCTGGAGAAGGGAATGGTTCTAACACAGAAACTAGTCCTGTCAGAGAGACTAAAATACTGGACATCTTAACATACATAAACTGCATCCACAGATACATACTCTCGTCTAATAACAATCAATTATAAGGGATTTCTTACATAAACAATAAGTTTGTGCTGATATATAAAACTGCTTCAAGAATGCACTAAGTACTTGTTAAGTTGGGTTTGTGTAAGTACCAAATTTTCTCTACTGAATGAAGCTACACAGACAGGAAAACGTAGGACATTGATACATGCAACAATTCTGAAGGCTACAGTAATGGGTTGTAGTGACTGATAATAAATCTATTTGTGTTGTTTGTAAACTTTCCTCAGGGCATCTCCAGTTCAGTGGGAAGCTGTCAGCACTGATTATCTTGTTTGGAAACAGTTAGAACTAGTATAGACACAGAGAAACCACATTAAATTATTGGTATAATGAATGAAGATTACTTGTGATGTTGTGTCAATGTATAGGTATCTATTTCAGGACTCTGCGATTGGTGAACATCCACACTGAACAATGTTTATATGTATTTGATGGAAGCCAGGACCAAGTATTAACAGTGTCGGTAAGTTCCCTATGTAATTAGTCCACAGACATACACTTCTACATTCATATCTCATTTAAAAAAAATACTGCCTCACTAGATGATGAGAGCAAGGGGTTATTATCATGACCAGAATGGTGGAGGACCTTAATCTTATTCTGAAATAACTGCACGTGATACCATCCTGTCTGTGTGTGATACCGTCCTATCTGTGTGTGATACCATCCTATCTGTGTGTGATATCATCCTGACTGTGTGTGATACCTTCCTATCTGTGTGTGATATCATACTGTCTGTGTGTGATACCATCCTATCTGTGTGTGATACCATCCTATCTGTGTGATACTATCCTGTCTGTGTGTTATACCATCCTATCTGTGTGTGATAACATCCTATCTGTGTGACACCATCCTATCTGTGTGTGATACCATCCTATCTGTGTGATACCATCCTATCTATGTGATACCATCCTATCTGTGTGTGATACCATCCTATCTGTGTGTGATACCATCCTATCTGTGTGTGATACCATCCTATCTGTGTGTGATATCATCCTGTCTGTGTGTGATACCATCCTATCTGTGTGTGATACCATCCTATCTGTGTGTGATACCATCCTATTTGTGTGATACTATCCTATCTGTGTGTGATACCATCCTATCTGTGTGTGATACCATCCTATCTGTGTGTGATACCATCCTATCTGTGTGTGATAACATCCTATCTGTGTGACATCATCCTATCTGTGTGATACCATCCTATCTGTGTGATACCATCCTATCTATGTGATACCATCCTATCTGTGTGTGATACCATCCTATTTGTGTGATACCATCCTATCTGTGTGTGATACCATCCTATCTGTGTGATACCATCCTATCTGTGTGATACCATCCTATTGGTGTGTGATACCACCTGATCTGTGTGATACCATCCTGTAGGTGTGTGTGATACCATCCTATCTGTGTGTGTGATACCATTCTATCTATGTGTGATACCATCCTATCTGTGTGTGTGATACCATCCTATCTGTGTGTGATACCATCCTATCTGTGTGTGATACCATCCTATGTGTGTGATACCATCCTGTCTGTGTGTGATACTACCTTGTCTTTATGATACCATCCTATCTGTGTGTGATAACATCCTATCTGTGTGACATCATCCTATCTGTGTGATACCATCCTATCTGTGTGATACCATCTATCAGTGTGTGATACCATCCTATCTGTGTGTGATACCATCCCATCTGTGTGATACCATCCCATCTGTGTGATACCATCCTATCTGTGTGTGATACCATCCTATCTGTGTGTGTGATACCATCCTGTCTGTGTGATACCATCTATCTGTGTGATACCATCCTATCTGTGTGTGATACCATCCTATCTGTGTGTGATACCATCCTATCTGTGTGATACTATCCTACCTGTGTGTGATACCATCCTGTCTGTGTGTGATACCATCCTATCTGTGTGATACCATCCTATCTGTGTGATACCATCCCATCTGTGTGTGTGATACCATCCTATCTGTGTGTGTGATACCATCCTATCTGTGTGTGATACCATCCTATCTGTGTGATACCATCCTATCTGTGTGATACCATCCTATCTGTGTGTGATACCATCCTATCTGTTTGATGCCATCCTTTCTGTGTGTGATACCATCCTATCTGTGTGTGATACCATCCGGTCTGTGTGTGATACCATCCCATCTGTGTGATACCATCCCATCTGTGTGTGTGATACCATCCTATCTGTGTGTGTGATACCATCCTATCTGTGTGTGATACCATCCTATCTGTGTGATACCATCCTATCTATGTGATACCATCCTATCTGTGTGTGATACCATCTATCTTTGTGTGATACCATCCTGTCTGTGTGATACCATCTATCAGGGTGTGATACCATCCTATCTGTGTGATACCATCCTATCTGTGTGTGATACCATCCTATCTGTGTGTGATACCATCCTATCTGTGTGATACCATCCTATCTGTGTGATACCATCCTATCTGTGTGATACCATCCTATCTGTGTGTGATACCATCCTATCTGTGTGTGATACCATCCTGTCTGTGTGATACCATCTATCTGTGTGATACCATCCTATCTGTGTGATACCATCCTATCTGTGTGATACCATCCTATCTGTGTGATACCATCCTATCTGTGTGTGATACCATCCTGTCTGTGTGATACCATCCTGTCTGTGTGATACCATCCTGTCTGTGTGATACCATCCTATCTGTGTGATACCATCTATCTGTGTGTGATACCATCCTATCTGTGTGATACCATCCTATCTGTGTGTGATACCATCCTATCTGTGTGATACCATCCTATCTGTGTGATACCATCCTATCTGTGTGATACCATCCTATCTGTGTGTGATACCATCCTATCTGTGTGATACCATCCTGTCTGTGTGATACCATCCTGTGTGTGTGATACCATCCTATCTGTGTGATACCATCTATCTGTGTTTGATACCATCCTATCTGTGTGATACCATCCTATCTGTGTGATACCATCTATCTGTGTGATACCATCTATTTGTGTGTGATACCATCCTGTCTGTGTGATACCATCCTGTCTGTGTGATACCATCCTATCTGTGTGATACCATCCTGTCTGTGTGATACCATCTATCTGTGTGATACCATCCTGTCTGTGTGATACCATCATATCTGTGTGATACCATCCTATCTGTGTGATACCATCCTATCTGTGTGATACCATCTATCTGTGTGTGATACCATCCTATCTGTGTGATACCATCCTGTCTGTGTGATACCATCCTGTCTGTGTGATACTCCTATCTGTGTGATACCATCCTATCTGTGTGTGATACCATCCTGTCTGTGTGATACCATCCTGTCTGTGTGATACCATCCTATCTGTGTGTGATACCATCCTATCTGTGTGTGATACCATCCTATCTGTGTGATACCATCCTATCTGTGTGATACCATCTATTTGTGTGTGATACCATCCTGTCTGGATGTGATACCATCCTATCAGGGTGTGATACCATCCCATCTGTGTGATACCATCCTATCTGTGTGTGATACCATCCTATCTGTGTGTGATACCATCCTATCTGTGTGATACCATCTATCAGTGTGTGATACCATCCTATCTGTGTGTGATACCATCCAATCTGTGTGATACCATCCTATGTGTGTGATACCATCCTGTCTGTGTGTGATACCATCCTATCTGTGTGTGATACCATCCTATCTGTGTGTGATACCATCCTATCTGTGTGTGATTCCATCCTATCTGTGTGTGTGTGTGATACCATCCCATCTGTGTGATACCATCCTATCTGTGTGTGATTCCATCCTATCTGTGTGTGTGTGTGTGATACCATCCCATCTGTGTGATACCATCCTATCTGTGTGTGATTCCATCCTATCTGTGTGTGTGTGTGATACCATCTATCTGTGTGTGATACCATCCTATCTGTGTGTGTGTGTGTGTGATACCACCATATCTGTGTGTGATACTGCCCAGTCTATGTATGAAACCATCCCTGAACTGGATGTGGTACCATCCTGTCTGAATGTTATACCATCCTTTCATTATCTGATATGTTTGTGTAATACAAAGTGTCTTAATGTGATTGCACTCTGCATGTATGAAATACCAAAAGACCTAAAGATATAATATTCAAGTAGTAGATTTGTTGGAAGGAGACAAAGTTTGAAAATAAAAAATGCTTTCATTTTCAAAATTACTTGGGTCTAATATGCCAAAACCTTGAAGTCACTTATGAAATAATAAAAGATCTGGAGACTTTTTATTAGGCTGGTAGCTTCCTTTGTCGGTCATAGGTCAAATTTGTTAAAAGTTTTAAACGACAAATCCCATTACCAAGAAGCCTACAACGATGATACATACATAGGATAAAGCCAAAGAACATTTGCAAAAAGAAATGACCTTGACCTATATTCAAGTGAACAGGGGTAGAATTCATGGAAACCTTTAAATTACATCTGCTGATTAATGAAAACAAACTCGGTCATGATATTTAAGCTGGTAGGTTTCTAGAAAGAGGCCTGAAAAAGTTTTCTAAAAGAAATAAACCATGACCAATATTCAAGGTCACAAGGGTCAGATTTGTTAAAAACTTCAAACAACTTCTGGTTAACCAAAAGGCCTAGACTGAATCATGATTTTTGGGTGGTAGGTTCATGGAATGAATGTCCATGATGTGAAATGGTAATATATTTATTAAAACATTAATTATGAGACTTTATTTAAAATCATTGGAAATGATTAATAATAGCCCTTGGTAAATAACAAAATTATCATTTTTATTCATCTTCTGAACCAAGAATCTTGATAAACACTTGAATAATCAGTTTTATATAATTGATTTTATAAAATGGTTGAGATGTCTCTGAAGTTGGGACTTATATTTAGGCTGTAAATCTGCATCACAAGATGATGCCCACTATCGTTTCATTACAGGCCTGCACTAGTCATTAGGAATGGCTTCAACTCCAAGGAAGTGTTTATGTTTTAGTAATATGCTTACAAACACATGTTGATTCTAAGTTTGTAAATGACAGACTTGCCAGGGGTTCATTAGGTTTGTGTATATATAGCCTCTCAAGTCATACACAAGGTAACATGTTCACTTTCAAATTAATTGTAGATAGATCTTCTCCTGAAACTCACTTATCCTTCCATACAGAAATAGGTATCTTAATGAAACCTCTTCTCTCTGCTACCATTCCACAGGAATGGCTTTTATCACAAGCTAATTCAAGTAAAATATATTTTTAGACATTGAAATTGTGTGTGAAGATTAAATTTATAAGGGACGTTAGTTACTTAACTATCCACTAATTTGTAAAAACAACTAGGTATAATACCAAATTATTTTTCACATGACTGACCTGCAATGCCACACAAAATGTCATCTATATCATACAACATAACTATCTTAATAGTAAAAGGACATCATGAATTGATGATGTCACCCAGTTTGTGTCAGCACTGAAAGTTTAACATCCAAGTTTCTACTTGTCGTTTTCTACTTAATTTCTCAGGAATTTGTGATCTTTAGAATCTCAATGATGAGATATGGAATAGATTATGACTAAAGAATAATCTGAGGTATCACTTGGCAAAGGGATTGATAAGTTCTAAATTACCCCTGTCAATATACGTTCTACAACAAGGAAAACAACAAAATGTTTCCTACAGCATAATTGTTGAGATAAACACCACTGCTCATGTTGATTAACTGAATATGTTAGCTGAGAATGATGGAAATTCAAGGTAGTTCAGGTCGTTGGGCAATGTTATTAAAATGTGTATGATCTTCTACAAAACTTTATTTAAATTTTTTTGTTTGATTGACGTTTATGGTCAGTGTTTTGAGATGATGAGAGGAAATGTTGATTGGCTGATAAGATAGAACTTGTTGCGATTCACCTCTGACAGGCCACCTGGTGTTGCTATCTATAGGACCTACCTAGATAGAAAAGAGCTCTTTAGTGTTAATATCTACTTGGTCCTACCTTCTCTGTCAACCATATACTGTCACCCTAATAGTTTATCTTCACAGCTGTGAGCCTAACACTTTTTTTATCTAAATGAATTCAAGAACGTCTTTTGTTAAGTATAGAGTGAGGTATAAACACATTTCAGTAGAAAGTACAAAAACTGTACACACGGCCTTCCATGTTATGGCGCCTATTCATTACCACTGTCATTTGATAGAATCAATTCAGAACTGGGGAAGGGAATTAAGTAGAATTGGAGCATTAGTTAGTTCTGTAGTGTGCATTATCTACACAGCACCTGCACTTCTCTACCACGCCCAAACTCATTTAATATAAATAACCTTAACCTCTATAGACATTGCTGTTTATTCATATTGGTACAATTTGGTCATTTTGGCTGGAATTTCATTCATCTGTCGATTAAGTGATTATAGTATATTACAGGAGTTGGCGTGACAAAGTTTTCATTGTGAGAGTATATTATACTACCTATTGTTCACACAATGCTGCCACTCTCGTAGACAGGGATGTCCCAATTAGGCAGTCAAGATTTACGTTAATGTGTAAAACCTCAAGTAGATAAGGTTTCCTTGTCAAATCGTCATGACGTACATGAGGTTAAATGGACAAAGTTTTTTCTAAAGATCATTTAAAATGTTTGCAAAATAGTTTGGCTTTTAACATTCTGTATATAGTAATCACTGTATTATCAATGCTATCCTATCATCTCTGGGCATTTTTCTTCAAAATATATCTCATTTTAGTAACGACAACGAGCTTTCCTAATATAGACAAGAATAAAAGTAATTGATTTTTAAATCTGGTACCAAGCACGAGTGTTACATCTGATATGATAACAGTTCTGTAAAATATATTGGTCCGACCCTGAAGTAATAAATCTTCAATGCTTGTCTATCAAAATTATACATAGAAATGATACTTTAAGGACCTAACTATTAAATCAAAATTAAGCAATTAAAAATGATGTACAGTGATCAATGTTATTAGAGGAGGAAAGAAATAAGGCTATGAAGGACAAAATGAGGGGGCAGGGCAGACAGAGAGGGGGAGAGGGGTGTGATGGACAGGAATCAAGATTGGGGAGAGAGAGCAGGCAAGAGAGTGGGAGAGGGGTGTGATGGACAGAAATCAAGATTGGGGAGAGAGAGCAGGCAAGAGAGTGGGAGAGGGATGTGATGGACAGGAATCAAGATTAGGGGTAGAGAGCAAGCAGAGAGTGGGAGAGGGATGTGATGGACAGGAATAAAGATTGGGGAGAGAGCAGGCAGAGCGTGGGAGAGGGATGTGGTGGACAGGAATCACGATTAGGGGGAGAGAGAAGGCAGAGAGTGGGAGAGGGATGTGGTGGACAGGAATCAAGATTGGGGAGAGAGAGCAGGCAAGAGAGTGGGAGAGGGGTGTGATGGACAGAAATCAAGATTGGGGAGAGAGAGCAGGCAAGAGAGTGGGAGAGGGATGTGATGGACAGGAATCAAGATTAGGGGTAGAGAGCAAGCAGAGAGTGGGAGAGGGATGTGATGGACAGGAATAAAGATTGGGGAGAGAGCAGGCAGAGCGTGGGAGAGGGATGTGGTGGACAGGAATCACGATTAGGGGGAGAGAGAAGGCAGAGAGTGGGAGAGGGATGTGGTGGACAGGAATCAAGATTGGGGAGAGAGCAGGCAGAATGTGGGAGAGGGTAGTGGTGGACAGGAATCAAGATTAGGGGGAGAGTGAAGGCAGAGAGTGGAAGAGGGATGTGGTGGACAGGAATCAAGATTAGGGGGAGAGAGAAGGCAGAGCGTGGGAGGGGGATGTGGTGGACAGGAATCAAGATTAGGGGGAGAGCGCAGGCAGAATGTGGAAGAGGGTGTGATGGACAGGAATCAAGATTAGGGGGAGAGAGAAGACAGAGAATGGGAGAGGGATGTGGTGGACAGGAATCAAGATTGGGGGGAGAGAGCAGGCAGAATGTGGAAGAGGGTGTGATGGACAGGAATCAAGATTAGGGGGAGAGAGCAGGCAGAATGTGGAAGAGGGTGTGATGGACAGGAATCAAGATTGGGGGGAGAGAGCAGGCAGAGAGTGGGAGAGGGATGTGATGGACAGGAATCAAGATTGGGGAGAGAGCAGGCAGAGTGTGGGAGAGGGATGTGGTGGACAGGAATCACGATTAGGGGGAGAGAGAAGGCAGAGAGTGGTAGAGGGATGTGGTGGACAGGAATCAAGATTAGGGGGAGAGAGCAGGCAGAATGTGGAAGAGGGTGTGATGGACAGGAATCAAGATTAGGGGAGAGAGAAGACAGAGAATGGGAGGGGGATGTGGTGGACAGGAATCAAGATTGGGGGGAGAGAGCAGGCAGAATGTGGAAGAGGGTGTGATGGACAGGAATCAAGATTAGGGGGAGAGAGCAGGCAGAATGTGGAAGAGGGTGTGATGGACAGGAATCAAGATTGGGGGGAGAGAGCAGGCAGAGAGTGGGAGAGGGATGTGATGGACAGGAATCAAGATTGGGGAGAGAGCAGGCAGAGTGTGGGAGAGGGATGTGGTGGACAGGAATCAAGATTGGGGAGAGAGCAGGCAGAGTGTGGGAGAGGGGTGTGATGGACAGGAATCAAGATTAGGGGGAGAGAGAAGGCAGAGAGTGGGAGAGGGATGGGGTGGACAGGAATCAAGATTAGGGGGAGAGAGTAGGCAGAGAGTGGGAGAGGGATGTGGTGGACAGGAATCAAGATTAGGGGGAGAGAGTAGGCAGAGAGTGGGAGAGGGATGAGGTGGACAGGAATCAAGATTGAGGAGAGAGCAGGCAGAGTGTGGGAGAGGGATGTGGTGGACAGGAATCACGATTAGGGGGAGAGAGTAGGCAGAGAGTGGGAGAGGGATGTGGTGGACAGGAATCACGATTAGCGGGAGAGAGAAGGCAGAGCGTGGAAGAGGGTGTGATGGACAGGAATCAAGATTGAGGAGAGAGCAGGCAGAGTGTGGGAGAGGGATGTGGTGGACAGGAATCACGATTAGGGGGAGAGAGAAGGCAGAGAATGGAAGTGGGTGTGATGGACAGGAATCAAGATTAGGGGGAAAGAGCAGGCAGAGAGTGGGAGAGGGATGTGGTGGACAGGAATCACGATTAGGGGGAAAGAGCAGGCAGAATGTGGGAGAGGGATGTGGTGGACAGGAATCAAGATTAGGGGAGAGAGAAGGCAGAGAGTGGGAGAGGGATGTGGTGGACAGGAATCACGATTAGGGGGAGAGAGAAGGCAGAGCGTGGAAGAGGGTGTGATGGACAGGAATCAAGATTGAGGAGAGAGCAGGCAGAGTGTGGGAGAGGGATGTGGTGGACAGGATTCACGATTAGGGGGAGAGAGAAGGCAGAGAGTGGGAGAGGGATGTGGTGGACAGGAATCAAGATTAGGGGGAGAGTGAAGGCAGAGAGTGGAAGAGGGATGTGGTGGACAGGAATCAAGATTAGGGGGAGAGAGAAGGCAGAGAGTGGAAGAGGGATGTGGTGGACAGGAATCAAGATTAGGGGGAGAGAGAAGGCAGAGCGTGGGGGGGGATGTGGTGGACAGGAATCAAGATTAGGGGGAGAGAGTAGGCAGAGAGTGGGAGGGGTGTGATGGACAGGAATCAAGATTGTGGGAGAGAGCAGGCAGAGTGTGGGAGAGGGATGTGGTGGACAAGAATCAAGATTGGGGGGAGAGAGCAGGCAGAATGTGGGAGGGGTGTGATGGACAGGAATCAAGATTGGGGGGAGAGAGCAGGCAGAGTGTGGGAGGGGGATGTGATGGACAGGAATCACTATTAGGGGGAGAGAGAAGGCAGAGAGTGGGAGAGGGATGTGGTGGACTGGAATCAAGATTAGGGGGAGAGAGTAGGCAGAGAGTGGGAGGGGGATGTGGTGGACAGTAATCAAGATTGGGAGGATAGAGCAGTCAGAGATGGGGAGAGTGATGTTAGTAACAGGGATAAGTTTGGGGAGAGCGGATAGTTAGGCAAGCAGAGAATGGGAGAGAGTGATGTGATGGACAGGGGTCAACTGGGGGTGTGGGGGTGTGGGGGGGGGGGGGGGTGAAGGCAGAAAGTGAGCAGGGGGGGGGTGAAGGCAGAAAGTGAGCACAGATTTGGTGTTCAGCATCAACATAGGGGAGATAAGGAGTTAGAGGGCAGACAGAGAGAGGGAGGGAGATATTTAGGGGAGGAGCATTGGGAGATGTTGGTTGAAATGAGGGGAGAGGGCAGGATAGAAAGAAGGAGGAGGTGGACCAATAGTGGTGGAAGCATGTACCCAGTGATCTACTTCTTAATTGGTCTGAAAGTCTATTTTCATTTCTCCTAAATTTGAAATCAAGTGGAATGTGGTTATTGATAAAACATGTTGTAAAATAGAGTTTACAGAGAACATTTTTCAGACATAAAAACAAATTTAAAAGATTTTAAAGTGTTAAGGAGAAAAAAAGAGACATCATAATTAATTGAATTGATAGATAAATTGTGTCTGTTTTCAGAAAGTAATTTATTATGATTAAATTTATCATTAGACACTTCAGTAGTGATGAAAAGATTATACAGTCAAGCAATGTTTCAGGCAGACATCTTATCTGGTAGCAATACCCAACCCCCATTAATCAAACAGGCAAAAATAAATTCCGAAACACTTAAAATCCCATCCAGACTAAAAAAACAGAACAACCGTTAAATGGTTGGACATGCTTTCAACTTAAACTTTAAATCTGGTCGACCTTTATAGTGTTTGTCTGGTTTTAGACAGTTGTATGGTATATGTACTTCATAAAGTCTCCTAGTTTATTGGAGATGTTTTATATACTTACATCAGTTGTATGCCGTGCTAGGGTTCTACTTGTTTTTGTTATAAGACTATGTCATATCTCAGCATGTAAGGCTTTATAATAATGATTGATTATACATATATTTTGTGGAACACATAGTTCTACAGATAAGGCAATCATATCCATACTTGATCACATTACTTGTATGTTTTTCTGATGAGAATAAGGTTTTAACACCTGGTTTTGTTTTAATTTAAAAGATTCAAGGGGAGTTAATCTTGAGTGGGGACCTCCAGGGCCGAGTTTATTTCTGGAACAAGACTTCGGGTGAAAGTGAAGCTGCTATACAGGCCCATGACAAACCTATCTACAAGGTCCATTACCATCAAGGTCGTTTCCTCACAGCTTCAGGGTGAGAATTTTGTCTGCGCTTGTGTTTTGTATAAACAGAAATGTCTGAATTTTCAAATATAAAGATGATAGATCTGACATAGATGACTTTTTCCTTGGAACAAATGCTAAATATGAGATCTGATTCTAACTACCTCTACTCAAGAACTAGACTACAATCCCTCTGAATGGATTGATTCCTATCCCCCTGAATGAGATCTGATATTGATTACTGTCCCTCTGGATGAGATCTGACATCGATTACTGTCCCTCTGAATGAGATCTGACATTGATTACTGTCCCCCTGAATGAGATCTGATATTGATTACTGTACCTCTGAATGAGATCTGATATTGATTACTGTACCTCTGAATGAGATCTGACATTGATTACTGTCCCCCTGAATGAGATCTGACATCGATTACTGTCCCTCTGAACGAGATCTGACATTGATTACTGTCCCCCTGAATGAGATCTGATATTGATTACTGTCCCCCTGAATGAGATCTGATATTGATTACTGTCCCCCTGAATGAGATCTGACATCGATTACTGTCCCTCTGAATGAGATCTGACATTGATTACTGTCCCCCCTGAATGAGATCTGATATTGATTACTGTCCCCCTGAATGAGATCTGACATCGATTACTGTCCCTCTGGATGAGATCTGACATTGATTACTGTCCCCCTGAATGAGATCTGATATAGATTACTGTCCCCCTGAATGAGATCTGATATTGATTACTGTCCCCCTGAATGAGATCTGATATTGATTACTGTCCCCCTGAATGAGATCTGACATTGATTACTGTCCCCCTGAATGAGATCTGATATAGATTACTGTCCCCCTGAATGAGATCTGACATTGATTACTGTCTCCCTGAATGAGATCTGACATTGATTACTGTTCCTCTGAAAGAGATCTGATATTGATTACTGTCCCTCTGAATGAGATCTGACATTGATTACTGTTCCTCTGAAAGAGATCTGATATTGATTACTGTCCCTCTGAATGAGATCTGACATTGATTACTGTTCCTCTGAAAGAGATCTGATATTGATTACTGTCCCTCTGAATGAGATCTGACATTGATTACTGTCCCCCTGAATGAGATCTGACATTGATTACTGTTCCTCTGAAAGAGATCTGATATTGATTACTGTCCCCCTGAATGAGATCTGACATTGATTACTGTCCCCCTGAATGAGATCTGATATTGATTACTGTCCCCCTGAATGAGATCTGATATAGATTACTGTCCCCCTGAATGAGATCTGACATTGATTACTGTCCCCCTGAATGAGATCTGATATTGATTACTGTCCCCCTGAATGAGATCTGATATTGATTACTGTCCCTCTGAATGAGATCTGACATTGATTACTGTCCCCCTGAATGAGATCTGATATTGATTACTGTCCCCCTGAATGAGATCTGACATTGATTACTGTCCCCCTGAATGAGATCTGATATTAAATACTATCCAAATTACTCCTATGTAGAATTTGCAGGTAATGTGAACTTGACCCACATTTGATCTGATGTTACTGATTGATTACCTAACTCAATGATAATTTCATTGGATGAAAGCTTATATTGATTCATCCAATTACATTTATTTTGTAGAGATGGAACAATCCGTGAGTGGGACATGATGACAATGACCAGTGTTCGACTTCTCCAAGGCCATCAAGGACCAGTCCGAGATGCCAGGGTGAGACAACTCTATTAAATGACATATGCATACATTTTGATGCCATCAATGGCATGTTTATTGATTGCACTTATTCTACAAACCACACACTTTTCACCACTAGACACATACCACTATAGACTATATACTGTACTGACTGTATGAATCACACACTATTGACTGTATACATCACACACTACTGACTGTGTACATCACACATTACTGACTGTATACATCACACACTATTGACTGAATACACCACACACTACTGATTGTATACACCGCACACTACTGACTGTATACACCACATTCTACTGACTGTATATATCACACACTATTGAATGTATACATCACACACTACTGATTGTATACATCACACACTACTGACTGTATACACAACACACTACTTACTGTATACATCACACGCTACAGACTGTATACATCACACACTATTGACTGTATACATAACACAATACTGATTATATACATCACACACTACTGACTGTATACTTCACACACTACTGACTGTATACACCACACACTGCTGAATGTATACATCACACACTACTGACTGTATACTTCACACACTACTGACTGTATACACAACACACTACTGACTGTATACATCACACACTAGTGACAGTATACATAACACACTAATGACTGTATACATCACACATTGCTGAATGTATACATCACACACCACTGACTGTATACATCACACATTAGTGACAGTATACATAACACACTAGTGATTGTATACATCACACACTATTGACTGTATACATCACACACTACTGACTGTATACATCACACCCTACTGACTGTATACATCACACACTACTGACTGTATACATCACACACTACTGACTGTAGCCACTGCTGACCGTATACATCACACACTACTGACTATACACACTGCTGACTGCATACATCACACACTATTGACTGTATACATCACACACTACTGACTGTATAAATCACACACTACTGACTGTATACATCACACACTACTGACTGTATACATCACACACTACTGACTGTATACTTCACACACTACTGACTGTATATACCATACACGACTGAATGTATACAACACACACTACTGACTGTATACATTACACACTACTGACTGTACATATCACACACTACTGACTGTATACATCACACACTACTGACTGTATACATCACACACTACTGACTGTACAGACTGCTGACTGTATACATCACACACTACTGACTGTATACACCAAACACTACTGACTGTATATACCATACACTACTGAATGTATACATCACACTACTGAATGTATAGATCACACACTATTGACTGTATACATCACACACTACTGACTGTATACACCACACACTACTGACTGTATACATCACACACTACTGACTGTACAGACTGCTGACTGTATACATCACACACTACTGACTGTATACACCAAACACTACTGACTGTACATATCACACACTACTGACTGTATACATCACACACTACTGACTGTATACATCACACACTACTGACTGTATACATCACACACTACTGACTGTATACATCACACACTACTGACTCTATACATCACACACTACTGACTGTATACATCACACACTACTGACTGTATACATCACACACTACTGAATGTATACATCACACACTACTGACTGTATACATCGCACACTACTGACTGTATACATCACACCCTACTGACTGTTTACATCAGACAATATTGATTGTATACATCACACACTACTGACTGTATACTTCACACACTATTAACTGTATACATCACACACTACTGACTGTATACATGACACACTACTCACTGTATACATCACACACTACTGACTGTATACATCACAAACTACTGACTGTATACATCACACACTACTGACTGTATACATCACACCCTACTGACTGTATACATCACACACTACTGATTGTATACATCACACACTACTAACTGTATACATCACACCCTACTGACTGTATACATCACACACTACTGACTGTATACATCACACACTACTGATTGTATGCATCACACACTTCTGACTGTATACATCACACACTACTGACTGTATACATCACACACTACTGACTGTATACATCACACACTACTGACTGTATACATCACACACTACTGAATGTATACATCACACACTACTGACTGTATACATCACACACTACTGACTGTATACATCGCACACTACTGACTGTATACATCACACCCTACTGACTGTTTACATCAGACACACTACTGACTGTATACATCACACACTACTGACTGTATACATCACACACTACTGACTGTATACATTACACACTACTGACTGTATACATCACACACTACTGACTGTATACATCACACACTACTGACTGTATAAATCACACACTACTGACTGTATACATCACACACTCCTGAATGTATATATCACACACTACTGACTGTATACATCACACACTACTGACTGTACAAACTACTGACATTCACACACAGTACTGACTGTATACATCACTCACTCCTGACTGTATACATCACACACTCCTGACTGTATACATCACACACTACTGACTGTATACTTCACACACTACTGACTGTATACACCACACACTACTGACTGTATACACCACACACTACTGACTGTACATATCACACACTACTGACTGTATACTGACTGTATACATCACACACTACTGACTGTATACATCACACACTACTGACTGTATACATCACACACTACTGACTGTATACATCACACACTACTGACTGTATACATCACACACTACTGACTGTATACATCACACACTACTGACTGTATACATCACACACTACTGACTGTATACACCACACACTACTGACTGTACATATCACACACTACTGACTGTATACTTCACACACTACTGACTGTACAGACTGCTGACTGTATACATCACACACTACTGACTGTATACATCACACACTATTGATTGTATACATCACACACTACTGACTGTATACATCACACACTTCTGACTGTATACATCACACACTACTGACTGTATACACCACACACTACTGACTGTATACATCACACACTACTGACTGTATACATCACACACAACTGAATGTATACATCACACACTAATGACTGTATACATCACACACTACTGACTGTATACATACACTCACACACACTACTGACTGTATACATCACACACTACTGACTGTATACATCACACACTACTGACTGTATACACACACTCACACACACTACTGACTGTATACATCACACACTACTGACTGTATACATCACACACTACTGACTGTATACATCACACACTGACTGTATACATCACACACTACTGACTGTAATCACACACTACTGACTGTATACATCACACACTACTGACTGTATACATCACACACTACTGACTGTATACATCACACACTACTGACTGTATACATCACACACTACTACTGACATCACACACACTGACTGTATACATCACACACTACTGACTGTATACACACACACTACTGACTGTATACATCACACACTACTGACTGTATACATCCCACACTATTGACTATATACATCACACCCTACTGACTGTATACATCCCACACTATTGACTGTATACATCACACATTACTGACTGTATACACCACATACTACTGACTGTATACATCACACACTACTGACTGTATACATCACACACTACTGACTGTATACACCACACACTACTGACTGTATACATGACACGCTGTAGACTGTATACATCACACACTACTGACTGTATACATGACACGCTGTAGACTGTATACATCACACACTACTGACTGTATACACCACACACTACTGACTGTATACATCACACACTACTGACTGTATACATCACACACTACTGACTGTATACATCACACACTACTGACTGTATACATCACACACTACTGACTGTATACATCACACACTACTGACTGTATACATCACACACTACTGACTGTATACATCACACACTCACACACACACACTACTGACTGTATACATCACACACTACTGACTGTATACATCACACACTACTGACTGTATACACCAAACACTACTGACTGTACATATCACACACTACTGACTGTATACTTCATACACTACTGACTGTATATACCATACACTACTGAATGTATACATCACACACTACTGAATGTATAGATCACACACTATTGACTGTATACATCACACACTACTGACTGTATACATTACACACTACTGACAGTACATATCACACACTACTGACTGTATACATTACACACTACTGACAGTACATATCACACACTACTGACTGTATACATCACACACTACTGACTGTATACATCACACACTACTGACTGTATACATCACACACTACTGACTGTATACATCACACACTACTGACTGTATACATTACACACTACTGACTGTTTACACCACATACTACTGACTGTATAAACCACACACTACTAACTGTATACATTACACACTACTGACTGTATACACCACATATTACTGACTGTATATACCACACACTACTGACTGTATACATGACACGCTGTAGACTGTATACATCACACACTATTGACTGTATACATCACACACTACTGACTGTATACATCACACCCTACTGACTGTATACATCACACACTACTGACTGTATACATCACACACTACTGACTGTATACACACACACTACTGACTGTATACATCACACACTACTGACTGTATACATCACACACTACTGACTGACTGTATACATCACACACTACTGACTGTACACAATACTGACTGCATACATCAAACAAAACTGACTGTATACATCACACACTACTGACTGTATACGTCACACACTACTGAATGTATACATCACACACTACTGACTGTATACATCACACACTACTGACTGTACACATTGCTGACCGTATACATCACACACTACTGACTGTATACATCACACACTACTAACTGTATACACTACTGATTGTATACATCACACACTACTGAAT